GGATGCCAGACGCGGTCAAAAGCCTTTGCCACGTCTAGCATCAGGATAGCAACACTCATTCTGTTGTGCATAGCCGCGCCGATGAACTCCGTGAGCCTGACTAACTGCGTTGTGGTCGAAAGTCCTTTCCGGAAACCGTGCTGGTGATCAACGAGAAAGTCCAAGTTTTCTTGCATTCTGAGATAATATAATGCGTTCCAGAATCTAGCTTATGGAGGACAGCAGGCTGATGGGTCTAAAGTTTTCCGGGTAATCCTGTGTTTTCCCTGGCTTAGGAATCATCAGGATGCTTGCTTGCTTCCAGAAAAGCGGGAAATAATTTTGATACAAACATGCATTGAGAATGCCTGTTAATTTGCATACGGTCTTAAAAGGCATGTTTTTCAGCATCTGGTTCGTGATCTTGTCCTTTCCTGGAGCTTTCTTTAATTTAAGTCCCTTAATAATGTGGTAGGAACGAAGTGCCTTGTTTTCCTTATAATGGAAGGGAAAGGAAAATTGGTTGCCACATATTAAAAAGTTTGCCAAGTAAAGTATTCATGACGCAAACTGAAAAAAATTGCGCCAAGATAAATTTTTGAATTTCTCCTTAAATTTCAAAACAAATTTTACAAAATTTAATATCTAGGCATAATTTGAGTCGTAGAATCGAACTATGAAAAAAAATGGTATGTTATTTCAGAAAAAGTTCGATTTTGTGTCAAAATACCTATGTTAGAACAATGCTATATATAAATCTCATCAATCGGTCCAGTAGAACGGGAGATATAAAATTGCCCCATTTTTTTTACATATATGTGTAATATCCTTGTTAATTTTTCATGTTCAGAAATTTTCAGACAGAAAGAATATCTCATTACAGATAAGATAAAGAAAGATATATTTCAGACAGAAAGAATTTCTCAGTCACATATGCTTCAGATTTTACATAAAAAAAATACGTTTTAAAAATAATAAAAGAAGAAAATTATTGAGATTACTGAACATAGTAAAAGAATTTTTTACTATGTTCAGATCAGTCAGCAGAAATTATTCAGCAGAATATTTTACTATGTGCAGATAGGTCAGCAGAAATTAAATATACAGCAGTTACATCTCACGAAAGGTTTCTGTGTTCTTGTTGCAAAGTACAATATTACGTGACACTGGAAATGATAAATTCCACTTCATAGTTTTTGACTTTTACGCTGAATATTCATATTTTTAATACGCTTTTAGCAGAGTATCCGATATATCTCTTCCTCATAAATTATGACTTTTTTAATCAGCAACGTATAAATGTATTTCAATCGCTTGAAATGTTCAGTCTCTCAAAAAAGGTGTATACACATATCAAGAGATACTTGATTTTTTTTTCAAAGAAACAGATTATCTTCAATAGAAATTACAATTGTTTTGTAATTTAATTTGATTTTTATTTATTTGTTATAAATAAAAATCAAATTAAAGTTTTTCACAAAATAAAGTTTAGAACCCATAAAATAATCAATGAACCAAAAGGAGAATAATAATTTTAAATAATTAATAATTATTTATGAAATAATAATTACAGAATTTAATTTAAGCTTGCGAGCTGAGAGGGCTGCGCCAGTTTTCGTTCGCTGGAATTCGAAAGTTGGATGGAACTACCAGTGTTCAGCGATTTTATCCGAGCTGCACCCGCTGTATTCACGTATGCATCCACAAGCTACTGCATACACATGCGGGAAATTACGAAAAAAAAAAAAAACCATGCAGCCAGCACATTCGCCGGGATTCGAAAGTTGGGCCGGACTACCAGTATTCAGCGATTTTATCCGGGCTGCGCCCGCTTTTTTCACGTATGCATCCACAAGATACTGCATACAGGTTACACATGCGGAAAATCACGAAAACTCACATGCACCCAGCCCGTTCGCCGGGATTCGAAAGTTGGACCGAACTACCAATATTCAGCGATTTTACCCGGGCTGCACCCGCTTTATTCACGTTTTCATCCACATGATATTATTAAAACCAGAAGTTACATATTCTCTTTACAAAGTTCGCCTACAATTTTATGACACGAATAACAGAAGCGTGAGCCGCTTTTAATACATTTTTAAAGGTAATTTTTTAGACTTTTGACAATGCCATCTGATTGATAGATTTTCCAATACAGGCACAAACGTTTTATTGTTCGTAAAGCTTACTTTATAAAAATTGACTTAATCAAAAAAAATATTTTTTGTAGTTTTAGTCTTACTGGCATGATATTAACCAAATTAGTCAACTGGAAAATAATCGTTTTTCAAAAATTCAAAATTTCTTTTTTATTTTCAGCAGTTATGGCATATCATATGGTCGAAAACAATTCAGGGATTAATAAAAAGGAGCTATTATCTCATATAAACTTAATTTAAAAGTTTCTTTTCCGCTCTAAAGGAAAGTGATAACAGTAAAATCGTGAGAGTTATAGTTTGTTCATTAAATAAAGATATGCGCAAAAAATAGTTTCAACATTAATTTAAAAAAATATAATTCGAATTTAGAAGAGAGACACTAACAATTACTTCACCTTCTTTTAAAGCAAGAAGGATAAAACGATATTAGGTACGTGATTTTCAACATATATTAAAAAAAAAAAAAAAAAAAAAAAAAAATGTGCATATAACTTATACAGCAAGAAAATTACATGATGACATCATAACCTTGACACTTTATATCGAAGCCCAAGGAAGAACCGGTATTTCTCCCTTCTATTTTACACTGTATTTTTTTTTAAATTAGAAAAGCGCCCAGTTACTGTATTTTTAAAATTCTTCAAATTCAGATTCTGATATATTAGAAATACTGCAATCTGCTGTTTGGTAAATGGGGAAACAATACTATTTGGTAAAAAATTCTGATTTTATTTTACATTATTAGTTGGCTTCTAATATCAAATATATTTTTATGATCTACAATGCTTATAATGAACAATACTTATATGTCGGATTCCAAGTCATTAATAAAGATGTTGAAGCTCATTGAGAAACAAAATACATGAAAATTATTTTCAGCGGGAAGAGTTTAAATAAATGCATTAAAAAATAAAAATAATTTTGTTTGTCATCACAATATTAGTTCACATCAGTAGCTGGCTAATCTCAAATATATTTTTATGTTGTATAATACTTATGTGACTGCTCCTACGTCCTTAATAAAGACGCTTAAGTTCATGGAGAAATGCACGCAGCAGCGGCCGAGAGGTAAAGCCGTTGAACACTGGCAGTTCGGTGCAAGATTCCGATCCGGCGAACGGGCTAACTGCGTGAGTGTTTCCGTGGTTTCCCCCCAAGTGTAACGTCTATAAGAGCCAGTTTCCCATAGAAAGCCTTCAACGAATGCATCTGTCAGCCTTAGCCAGATAGTCCTCGAGTTCTTTTCCGTAATCGAACCAAACCAAACCAAATCATTAAGAAATAGAATATATGAAAATCACTTTAAGTGGAAAGAGTTTAATTAAATGCATGAAAAACAAAATAACAACAAAAAATAGTTATCATGATCATCTTTATCCTACGTGGCAAATTTAAATTGTAGGGTTACTAGCAAGAGTATTAAATTAAAATTATGAAGAAAACGTTTATGAGAACTAAATGCACTTTTTACAGTATCACTTCTGTTTTTTTCCTAGGAAATTTTATTAAATGCTCTAGTATACTTCGTTATATGAGTGCACAAAGTTTTTCTTAGTCACATATGCTTCACATTTTAGATAAAAAATACGTTTTTAAAATAACAAAAGAAGGAAATTATTGACACAACTGAACATATTTAAACTATTCTTTCTATTCAATACTAGTACTACATCGGTTTACATAGTTTCTGATTTATCGCTTGTGATATCTTTATTCAAGTCCTTTAAAGATATATTTGACAAATGGTCTGATAAAATCAAAGATTAAATATCTCCGTTAAAGCGTCTACCATTTTGAATAACGCATATTTTAATTGCTAAAGTTAGGCGAATTAAGCTAGATATTGCGAAGAGTCTTTATATTAAAGCTATTTAACTTTTATCCATTCGATGATGTAAAAATGAAAATTATTCGACTTGTAGCTTGACATGCATTAAAGCCAAAAATTTCAAAAATGGTCATTTGGGATTTTTTCATTTTCATATTCTCTACACTTAAAGTTTTACAAAAATACCATATGTTAATTTGTATGAAAATTAGAATTGTAAAAAAATTGGTTTTAATTTATCATCGAATGCTTTGATAAATGAGGATTTTTAACACAAAAAAAACGTGTTTTTCCTCCAAATGTGATTTTTTTCTACTTGATGTACCTTTTCCAGGGTATTTCAATTTTTATGGCTTATTTATTATGTTTCCTAATATTTACTGAAATGAGGTTTTTGTAATAAACTAAGGAAAAAATGTACAAATTTGTTTTGGGAGAAACGTGTTAAATATTACTATGACTAATAGATTATTCTACAAAATGTTTCAAAAGCTCATTTCAGTGTAATTAGATAGGTGCATATTAATTACACAAAAGATTTCAAACGAGTATTTACAGCAGATTTTTGAGAAAAGGTACATTGAAATGGCCAGTTTAACATTGTCGATATAGGGGATCCTACTCCCCTTGATGGATATACCATAAAAATTCAACACTACATACAACAAAGTGAATAAATTGTGAAACAAAATTTCATGGTTGTAATATACTGTTATAATAAATATGTCTATTTGGAAAATTTTATATGGCATCGTGGCGTAAGGATTTATTTATTTTTATCTCACCCATTAATTTATGTTAAGTAGCTTTATTATCATTCTCCCTTTCCGTTTTCCAGCCAAAATGCTAATTTTTATTCGCGCGTATCCAAATGAAGTGTGAGAATGGAAATTTCTCACACCATGACGTTCATCAGTATGGACACTATCGCAACATTAATCGCAATCGCAGAACTACACGTGCATATAAATACCCGCCAAACAGGTTTTATTCCCTCTTTTCTGACTAACGAGTATGCGGGGCTGCGGACCTTGCAGGTCTCACACTCATGGAGTGATATCGCCTTTTGGGATAGAAAAGAAGGAGCGGAACAGCCTGAGAATTGCACAAATTTATCCTGAAAGATCATGTTGAAAATTAGCATAATTACTCTATAGCTGGATTGAAATTCAACCCGTATTGAAATAAATTGTTAATGTTTGTTTCGCATTAAGAAATTGCTGCTATTGTCATTCTCTCGTCTCCTCGTGGATTTTACCTTGTGCTGACCAGACGAATGTGTGTAAAACAAGAATAATATAAACGGGTATAAAACAACATCTGCAAGCTGTTTAAATAATATGTCCGGTACGTAAGTATGTCCAGTACGAAAAGTGAACGATGAAATAAGATATAAAATTTGCTTTCGATCTTCTCTAGGCGCTGTTCTCGTGTCCTTCCGTTCTTATATTCTTACTTTCTTATGTTTTTGTGTGCTATATTATCAAATTGATATATTTAATCCAGATAATTCTTAATTCTATAAAGTGAGGTTGAGCAAACACGTTTCTCTCTGAAGTCCTTTTGCCATGTTTTATGGGTAAGTGAAGCATTTTATTACTCTTTCAACGCAATGTACTATAGATAGTTTTTTCAGGCCAGCAAATATTGGACACATGTAATTTCTATTTGATACTTGTAAGTATTCAATTAAATAGGGATCATCACCACAACACGACATGAAGTAGAAAGTAATAGTAATTAAAGGAAGGTTTTTAGATTTTTTTTTTTTTTATCAGAGCCTGTCCCGCCTACTGAAGGCCACATTACTAGTCGCAATTCTTCGATAGCAGTCGGAGTGCTGCATTTTTTTATTTTTTTCAATAATGCTTATCACGTCGGTATATACTTGAGCTAACTTGCGCGTTACTTATTTCTATGTAGTCTTTGACTAAGTTACAACTTAGTTTCAATATGAATTTCTATCCTTTTGAGTTACGCCATAAATGTTAGCTAGCTGGTTTGTAAGCACAACAAGTGCCTTCTATTTAATTATTTTGAATTCTGAATGAAAGGGTCTTTTACTCCTTTCCTAAGTTCTATTTCATTTTAGACATAGCGAAAAGTCGCTTTCTTTTCTATTCAAAGATTTGCCACAAGTTACACTTAGTTACAGGCAAAATCCCTGCAAAGCTGTAAAGGTTGGCATATTTTGCAATCGTTCAAGTAAGGTTTTAGTAAAAGTTAAACGAAGTCTAAAATAACTACTCAAACTTGCGAAGGGTGTAAAAAACCCTCTTATTCAAAACAAAAAAGAATAGAGGTCACACTTGGTTAAATCTCAGCCAGCACTTAAGGCTAGATAACTTGAAATAGCACTAGGTTCAATTTGCACAAACAACCTTGAGCCAAACGTCTACTTGAATTTTTACCCTCTGCCACATGACGCACGGGATTGAAATAATGCTGGCTTTGAATTTTTTTTCGTAAGTAATGCAAGATATTGCAAGGACAGAAATTAAAATACTTAGATACTTCCTATTATGGAAATGAGAGAATTCTTTACTATTCTTAAATAGAAAAGATGATTAGATGCTTAGAAAAAGTTGGATCCTTTATAAGCTATTTCTTCCGCCTTCTTGGCCTTCGTGGTGTGGTAGTCTTCACGCTGGTCGCGTATTCCAGAGGTCCGTGGTTCAATTCCCGGCGAAGTCGTTGCAAATTACTCATCTTCCCTACTTCGAAAAAATACCTAATGTCTCTACAGTGGCGGTCGAATTAAAAGGATGTTGGATGATGATTCTTCTCACTCAGGATTCGGCGACTGAGTCCCCTAAAAAATCCCAATCGCCCTTTAAAACGAGTATATAAGGTATTTCTCCCGCTTTCTTGGCATACTTTAGTGGTGTGATGGTCTGCACAATGGGCGCGCATCCCAGAGATCCGTGTTTCGATTCCTGGCGAAGGCGTTTCAAATTTTTCATCTTTCCTGCTTCAAAAATATACCTAATGTCTCTACACCTTCTCCAAAATGATAAACCGATTCCAATGAAATTTTGAACATACTGATTACGTATTTGAAGATAATTATAATGAAAATTTTCGCCGTGACCAATGTTACAGGGACTGCAGTTGTATTGCACTTATACTACGAAATAACATTTTCCTCCTTTTAAGATTGTTATTTCTTTCCAAGCTATGCTTTTCACCTCATTACTCATATAACTTCACAATCCTTTTCCCTCATACGAATTCTCAATTTTTCCAATCTTTACTGATGGCTCGGTGATGGACGAAAACGCAGGAGCTGCCTATGTGGCTTAATATTGTGAACAAAAATGTGAAGATAAGAGATACAGACTTAATGACAGAAGTACGATTTTTCAGGCTTAATTATCAGCCTTTAAGAAAGCTTTAGAATGAGCTGATACATGGATAAAAGAAATGATTTGGCAAATCGTTTTGTATCAATTTACACCGATTCTCAAAGTGTGTTGAAAGCAATAAATTCTAGAATATGTCTTGTTAAAAAGTAATTGAAGTAAGAAATAAAACTGTAGAATGTCTAGAAAAGTACAACTTGAAAATTAATTGGGTTAAGGATTACACAGGAGTGTTGGGAAATAAAGCTGCAGAAAACACCTCAAAGGAAGCAACTAAGAGCGATAATAGAGATATTTTTCGACCATCTCAATGGAATACGTAAAAATGCCAATTCCGATGGGATAATGATAACACTGGAAGAAAATTATTTCGGACTTTTCCTAAAGTTAACACAAAAAGATTATCTAATGATAAAAGAACAAATTAAGCACTTCGAGGTCATGGACAAAGTCCAGAATATTTAAAGAGATTTCACACATAGAAAGTAAAATGTAAATGTGGTTGTGAACCACAAAAGAGGACTTTATAACTATTTGTGTGAATGTATACAGACAATCTCTATCATAGAAGAATATTTTTTTTTAAATTTTTCAAAAGAAAATATGAATTACTTATTTACGAAAGACAAATCCAGGTTAGGATTTACAAAAATTGTAAATAATCTAATTGGATATGAATATTTTAAAGTAGATTGATTATGTAGTAAATTTCTAAAATTGTAAGTGAGTTGAATTGTATATTTGTGATAACTTATGTAATTTAGTTAGAAAGATTATGTAATAAGCAAGAATGTGTTTCACAATTGTGAGTTTATGTTAAAAGTTACGTAAAATTGATTCATTTAAATAAATAAGGGATTCAGTGTTTTAGAAAGATGGAAAATATCGATTCACAAAATTGTTAAAACAAAATATTAAGATTTCATTATAAGTACTATGTTGAATTTATTTAGAAAAAGAGTCAAGGTGACCCTACTGCGAAGGCCAGAGAATCTAAATATGACACGAAGAATATTAGCCCTCGGGGGAAGAGTTAAGGGCGAACTGCCCAGTATTTGAATTTGGTTAATTAGCTTATTTGGTTCTTTGATTGTTTCTTAGTTTTACCGGTTTGACAGTATTGGTGGTACGGTTTATAAGTTGATTTTAGGTTTAGGTTTAGGTTAAGGTTCTCAGTCTAGAACAGTTCATCCTTATTCTCCTTTTCTTATCTGTTTCACAAATTATTTTTGTATACTTTTTTAACTTCTTTATACTATTTTAACTTGTTTATACTTTTTTAACTTGCTTATACTATTTTAACTTGTTTATACATTTTTATGCTTTTTCGCTACTCCTATGTACTACTTCAATTTTGTGGACCAAAAAGAAAATTGTAACTTCATCCACCAACAAAAGAATTTCCAAAGATTCTAGATTCGAGATTTCCAAAAAGCTGAAAGATATTCGTCAGATTTTTTAATTCATTTAATGATGTCCGATGTGAAACGAACAAGGTCTTCTTGGAAAGCAACAAAATCCTTTGTTCTCATGGTATGATATGAACAAGAACAAGCATCATGTTTTATTTAAGTGCTTTCAATTACCTGTGAAATACCGGGCTAATAATAATTATGTAAATATTTTATTTAAATGATATTTTTCTTAAATTAAGATTATTATTTATATCTATTGGGAAACGAACATACAATTTAAAATAATTTATAAAAGATATAATTTTAGATATGATAGCTATTACCATATATTCAACAAATATTTTATCATGTCAGGTGATAGGAGAAATGAACAGGCTTCAATAATAGTGCGAAAGTGCAGGATTACATGCAGATAAGTTTAATTAGCCCCAATGCAATGATTTTATTATGATAAATTTGAAAAATGATAAAGTTGAATTTAAAATTTCTGAAGTCCTGTGGTTGAGCCGAAACGCGATTTTACAATGTTTATTAGCTTTACTTGAAAATGTAAAGTTTTATTCGAATGAAAAGTTTCAGCGTATACGTCATTAAGAAGATACGATTCAATTACATATATTTAGGTATTCTCTCTTAATTTTATTCCAGGATTTGAATTAAAAATTGCAAAGAAGAGAAAATTTTACATTTCTTCTGCGAAAAAATATGCCAGTATTTTAAACAGTATTATCACTAGCTTCATATGCAAAATTTTCATGCATATCATTATTAAACTGTTAGCCAATGAACAGTGAAAGCAATCGAGTGCATCGAGCAAGACAGAAACTGCAATTTTATTAAAATATTCATAGATTTAGAAGTAAACAAACTATTTTTTCGAATTTTTGCATAAACTTTTGACATTTCGCATGCAAAAGAAGCTAAACCAACAGTACAATATGTATGACTGATATACAAGGCAATGAAGAACTAATGAAAACTTCGGGACAACATTTCCTTACATATTTTCTTTACATATGCATCTGATTTACATAAGAGACATACTGAGCGTTCTTTTTATATTTTCGCTTTCGAAGAATAAGCCAACAAAACCTTGTATAGTTGAAATTTTGCTCTAGGGAATATATTATTTTTTTCAGCAGGTTAGTTATTTCGTAGGAAAAAAAAAAACATCTTCCTCAGAATTTTCACTATTTTTGATGGGGGAAGGGAGATAAATATCGTTCTTAAGTAAATAAAAGATCACATACAGAATTATCATCATTTTAATCGCATTAAAAGCAATTCTTCGTGTCATATTTAGTCATTTATAATTTGATGTAATGTAAATCCACCATAATACGGCTCTTGACTGTTGATGGCTTGTCACTTATAGACAGCTTGTTGTTTCTCTTAGTTTTAGTTGAGGTATATAACAGTATTATTATTATTATACTGCTTTCCTTCAAGTAATTTAATCATCCGTTATATGACTCTGACAAGGTCATTCTTCAAAGTCAATATTTATCCGACAGCCTCTTGTTTATCTCTTTCACACAGATTCTACTTGACGTTCTCTGTTGTTTCGGGA